CCAACCATGTCATATTTACCTGCTCTGTGTAATGGTTTTGCACAGAGCAGCCCTGATCCTCCTCTTCTCTGGTCCCAGCCCGTGCTCCTGGCTTCTCCACCCACCAAATGCCCACCACAGCAAGCTGCTGGCTATGGGGGCACCCATGCGTGTGAGATCCTGAGCCGGCTCTGTGTCCATAAATACATAGAGTGTGGCTCGGCCCCATCCCCCACTCCCTCCTCACTAGCTGTAACTGACAGCAGCGGGAGCCAATGGCTCCCACTGCTGTGTCTGAGCCAATGAGGAGGGACAGAGCCACTGCTCTTGTGCACAGCGCTGGATGGAGATCAAGCTCAGGTAAGTATAAGTGGAGGGGTGGGGGGGAGGAGCTGCATGCAGAAGGTTTTTTTTTTTACTGTAAAGTGGTGCTGTAAAACCTGCAAGCAGGCAGGCTTTAATTGCAGATGAGACATGCACTGTCTCTTCTGCAATAAAATGCCCCTACCTGCCTGCTCGCTGTCTCCTGTGGCACTGTAAACTGAGCTGCGCATGCACAGGTCTCCAAGTGCGGAGAGATAATGGCCTTCTGTGCTCATGTGGTGTCATCCGCTTCCTGCCAATAAAGAGGCCCAAAGCCTGGCACTCAGAAGAAGATGCCAATCCCCCTACAGGAGTATGGAGATTTTAGTTCTGCTTTATTGCAGAGAATGCATTATGTTACTAAACCCACAACAGTAAAATCAGTCTGTATATGCAGTAAAGCATGCTTGTTATACTTGCTCTGGAACCTAAGGGGTTAATCCTCTGCATTCTGTAAAAAGGCTGTTTAATCCTGACTTCTCTGATCCTCCCCTTCTTCCAGTGTCCCCCTCTTATCCTCTGATAAGACATAATGTGTGGAGACACTATGCGCATGCTCAGTTTGGTGTGTATTGCTAGAGGGTTGTTTTTGGTTTTTTTTTCTTGGGAGAGTGCATGCGTTTAGCACAGGGTCAATCAGCACTGTCCAGACAGAGGGTCAGGAGTTCTGCATCGTCCTAGAGCAGAAAGAAAACTCCTCCTACAAGCTTTAACATATGCTCTGCTGTACACTGATAGAACTGACAAGACTGCTGATGAGAAAAGATATTTCAGGTTTAAATTTACTAAAATAAATTGCATTTCCATGTTCTGTGTGCTGTGGGAGACCAGATATAGTGAATGCGGGGTCCTGGGTTTGGTAACACTTTAAAGTTGTAAATGCAGAAGGTTTTTTTACCTAGACCCAAGAAGAGGAGGATCGGGCACATATCAGGTAAGTATGACGTTTATTATTTTAAACAACAACAAGATGAACATTTACTATTACTTTAAGGTACAAATCCTTCTGCCTGTACAAGTGGATTGGACTTGATCAAACTGAGTGGATAGGACAGGGTAGAGAAGTATTGATTGTATTGCATTGATCGGCAGTGCTGAGATACTTTGTTCATGAATACGATCAGATTTCAGTGGTTCATATTATGAGATTATACGGTGGAAGCAGAGATGGGATCAATACCTTGCAACCGTATCCTAACTATTGATGGAAATTCACTTCCCTGTGTGTGGCATATCAATCCAATGGGTTGTCAACTATAGATTGATTATTCCTATTGGCAGAGATTGATCAGAAAAAAAAACAGTATCCTAACTATCGATGTAAATCAACTTCCCTGTGTGTGGGCATATCGATCCAATGGGGTTGTCAACTATAGATTGAATTATTTCCTATTGAAAGAAAGAGATAGATCATAAAAAGAAAACCGTACATAACTACCGATGGAAATCCACTTCCTATTGTGTGTCAGTGCAGTATCCTATCGATCCAATGGGTTGTCAACTATAGATCAAATTATTCCTATTGGCAGAGATTGATCAGAAAAAAAACTGTACATAACTATCAATGGAAATCCAGTTCCCTGTGTGTGGCGTACCCATCCAATGGGTTGTCAGCTATAGATCGATTATTCCTATTGGAAAGAGATTGATCAGAAAAGAAATCCAGTACATAAATATCGATGGAAAAAATCCACTTCCCTTGTGTGTGACGTATTGATCCAATGGATTCAATTATTCCTATTGGCAGAGATTGATCAGAAAAGTAACTGTACATAACTATCAATGAAAATCCACTTCCCTGTGTGTGGCATATCGATCCAATGGGTTTGTCAACTATAGATTGATTATTCCTATTGGCAGCGATTGATCAGAAAAGAAAAAGAAACAGTATCCTATCGATGGAAATCCAATGGGTTACTTCCCTGTGTGTGGCATATCGAAAGAAACAGGTTGTCAACTATAGATCTTCCCTTATTCCTATTGGAAGAGATCCTATGGAAGAGAGATCAGAAAAGAAACCGTATCCTATCGATAGAAATCCACTTCCCTGTGTATGGCTTATTGATCCAATGGGTTGTCAATTGGCAGAGATTGAGATAGATCGATTTATTCCTATCGATTATTCCATTGGCGATTGATCAGAAACAAAATGGCTCATTTATTGAAGCATGTATGGCCACCATTAGTGCTGGGAGCTCCGATCTAGTATATGATAGGACTGTAAACCATTAGGGACATAGAAGTATTAGACACTGGCATTGCATGTGACAACAGACATAAAGGCACAGCTGAGCAGCAACAGGTCTGTGTAGTGCCAAGAGTAGGGATTGTTGTGGCAGGCTGAGGTAAAGTTCTCCCCTCCCTCCCTCGCTCCCCCCATACCCCTCAGACAGGACTTACCTCGCCCTGGGGTGACTCCTGTACCCTGTGCTAATATTCCTCGGCTCACACCGCCCTCTACAAGTTGTGTGGATCAGTAACAGGATAATACAGGCTGCAGTCGGGCACCACCTTCAGCATCTTCTTCTAGGACGGCCGGCGGCCTCCAGGCACAGTCTCAGTCCGTGTAGACGGGGCACATGCCAGGGGCACACCGAGCTCCAAGTTTTAGGAAGACACAACTAAGTAGGAAGGCTCTCTGCTCACACGGAGGAGGACGGAGGAGCTTCTAGCCGAGCGCGTCCCTCACACTTTCCATGTCCCTGTGCAGTTCCCTCTTTGTTGCGTTGCTGCGTGTGTTCCAGTACGGGGCTGGTTCTGTAACCATTGTAACAGGGACGCACTGCCTGCCAATCACACAGCCACACTCTGCCTCAGTGACTCGCCTCGCCCCGCCTCCTACCGCACTCCGCACAGGTTCACTGCTGACACCTACTGGCCACACACTGGGCCTGCACCATGTACAGCGCTCTCCTCTGCTGTCATCAATGGAGAGGGAGGGAGATAGCTGGCTCAATTCACGCAGGGGTCTCCAAACTATGGCCTTCCAGCTGGTGAAGTACTACAAGTCCCATCATGCCTCTGCCCGTGGAAGTCTTGCCCATGGCTGTCAGAGTCTTGCAAGGCCTCAGGCAGGGGCGGACTGACCATTTGGAAGCTCAGGCACTGCCCGAGGGCCTGGGGTCAGTAGGGGGCCCCATGAGATGCCCCTAGGACCTTTTTCATAGGCTTTTTTGAGTTTGGGCAAGGACACAGGGGCCCCATGATCCCCTATTGCCCGGGGGGCCCCAAGAGTTGTCAGTCCGCCCCTGGCCTTAAGGAACTTGCAGTTGCTCAACACCTGGATGGCCATATAATTGAGTCATGCAGGGTAAAGAAATTTAAAAACAGTAGAAAATATAAATCAACAAAACATGAAACTGCTAAATTTCTTTCAGTTTACAAAAATAAATGCCATAAGATGCCACCAGCACCAATATTAAAGTAAAATCAGTGTCACGGATGGACTGTATCTGTGGCTGGCAGTGGCAGGGTGACAGTTATAGTGAGTGGAGGATGATGATGGATCCACACTCTGACAGATCCCAGGCTGGAATTCCACAGACAATGGGGGGAGGTAAAACGCTGTGACAGCAGGCAGCCCAGCCCACACACCTGAACTGAGTGATCCCACACAGTGACAGATTCTACACAACACACCACCACCAACACTGACACAGATCAGCAGGCTCAGCAGGCAGTAGAAGAGCAGGCTGTGTGATTGTGATGATGTCATCATTCACTGACAAATTGCACATGTGATGGCTGGCCAGGTCACACTCCCACAGACACGAGACATCAGAGTCAGACATTACGTTCCTCCGCAGGTGCGGCTCTGCTCTGCCTCTGCTGATAAATGGGAAAAGATGGGCTGGAACTTCACAATGATCAGCAGCCGTAAGCCGACTTTTAGTAAGGGACTGACTCTGAGAGGAACACTGGAAAGAGCTCAGCAGCTACACTGGCCCCAGACACCTGTCATTTTCCTCTGTCCTTTCTTCCTCCCCTCTGCCACCCCTCCCCTCAGCTGAAGGATCATTCATGATGTGGTGGCTTCCCACACAGAGAAAGTGCTGCTCCCAAGCACCCCTAGGTGGCAGTGTGCCCTAGGCAGCTGCCTAGTTTGCCGAGTGGAAGCTCGGACAATGGTCATGTGACACATTTTTTACAATTAGATGAGATGCTGAAAATGTCAACTCACTATCACCTTATTAGTTATTTACCTCAGACACCAAATACCTCATAAAAAACAATGTTAAAGCGGTAGTAAGATTAAAAAAAAAAAAGATTTCCCCTGCAACATAATGTCATAATGTGCTAGTATGCATCACATACTAGCACATTATGAAAGACTTACCTGAGAACAAAGCCCTCCAGCGGCATGCTGTCACTGTTGCAGAGGCTCCCATCTTCACCCAGGGTGTGGTCACTTGAATGGCTGAAATTGCGATGTCACTCCTGCGCATGCGTGTGGAAGCTACGGCCGTAGCACACAGCTCTGAAGGAGCAGCATGAGTATGCCGTTCCTTTAGAGCGTATGCACCAGTGATGTCACCGGCTGCTCCTCACTAGAATATCTCCTAAACGGTGCATGTTTAGGAGATATTCATTTTACCTACAGGTACACTTTATTAGAAGCTTACCTGTAGGTAAAAATATAAAAATTTAGTTTACTACCACTGTAACCACTTCCCACCCGGCCTATAGCAATTTAATGGGTGGGCGAGACTTTCCACGTTCAGTGTGGACAAGCCTCACGCTCAGCCATGGGGCCACACTGCAGACACAGCCAATGGCAGATCAGTGTACCATGTGATCGCTGTGACCAATAACAGCAGTTCGCATGACACAACAAAACAAACTAAATGAATTGATTTCATTCAGTAAAATGCTTGCTTATAGCAGTGTAATTTACTGCTATAAGCAATCATAATGTGTAAAAAAAAAATACAAATCCTGACTACTTCTCCAGAGTAGTACAATGTTACTATGGTAGCATTTTACTGCTCTGATCACGAGTTTAAAAAAAATCATGACAAAGAAAAAAAGTAATAAAATTATTTTTTGCATTGAAAAAAATTATTAAAGGTTCATTAATCAGTGTCCCTGATCATGGCCACACAAGCTACTTCGTAAGTGCCTCCCAGGGAGATCTTGTTTGCAAATTGCAAACAAACTGCACCAGATCTTGTATGATGCATGCAGTTTATCATGTTTTATTTGTGTAGCGTCCCTCAAGTTAGCTAGGTGGAGCTAGGTAGGTTTTCAGCTAGAGGCTGGATAGCAGTCTGGTGTGTCAGCATGGGACGAGTCAGCCAGGTTCACTTTAAGTTAGGGCTGAGGGCTCTGCAGGTCAGTTCCCTGATACCTTCCCCTGCTCTAGAAGCTTAAGAAGTTTCTAGATGGCAGTGGGTGGGGCTGATCTTCATACCTAAGGGGATCTTGACCAATACCCAAGTAGGAGGCTTTCAGGACAGCCCTTAAATGCGAGAAAGCCTGATCAGCAAGAGGGAGTATTGTTGGGTGGAAGATGGAGTGAAGACTGGAGTTTTGACCCTGGGAGGGGACCCAACAGAGGGGCTTACTTGCAGGCAGGAGCTTGAAAGGAGGATCTCTCAGCCTCAACCATCCTCTGAGAGAGGACAGCCTGGGAAGCAGGGAAGGAGCCAGCCCAGCATAAGGCCTGAAGTCAACCACCAACCCATAAGCTTGCAGGACAGGACTGAGTGAGTGAGTAATCTCAATCCCCATAGGCCAGATAAGGGAGAGGGTATTCTGATGGGAAACCTGACTAGCCCCATCTGGGACTGTTGATTTAAAGTGGCAGTTTCTGGGTCCCGTTGCCCAGGGATTCCCTCAGACTGCTGGGTGAAGAGATTTCATCTGGGGTCTGAGGTGGTACACCAGGAGGGCTGGAAAGCTCTCCAAAAAAAGGATTTGTTTTTGTCTGTGGGACACTGGTGCTAAGGAGTTGTCCTCAGTTGCAGTTCCATTGGGCATTCCATACACCCCTCAACCCTATCCAAGTTTAATATCCCTTAATAAAACCTAAAAAAAACAAGCTCAATGACTGTTTACTGTCTCCTGTGTGCAAGATCTGAAGAAAATGTGCATTGCCAGGCTGTGTAGGACTATAAGGGGACCCAAAACGCAGCGACTCCTAAGGGGGTAGTGCTACATTTGTTTAGTAGAATAAGATTAACCTTTTAAACCCTGTAGCTCTAAAAGAAATATACACACACAAGTGCACTGCATGCAGTGTACAAACACAGTCACAAAGCCAAAAACTAGGTTTTTAATTAATTAATTTCTTGTTACTTTCTTTGCAAATACAACTTTGAACATACAGATGCAATAAACTGCACAAATTGTCAATGTATTTATGGATGCTGTTCTATCATTCTTATTAGCTGTGACCCTCTGGGAATGAACCTAGACACTCTTTCACAGCTCTGATTTTTGCCTTTGGGTACCTGGTTTTTACTTGAAGCCAGAACAGTTGGAGGAGCAAGTTCTACAAGTGCAGCCTCATCATTTCATGAACCTGTTTAACAGTAGACTATACTAAGGATACAATCTGAGTCTAATGATAATGATTGTTCACTTTATTTACCAGCTGTGTTCCCATCTGACACACTGTATAGTAGTAAGATCACCCTTTACACACAGAACCTTTTCTTGAAACTTTAGAAAACCTTTTTGGGTTACAGGACAAGAAATGTTATCACGGCCAGCATCCCAAAGGCTATGAAACAGTTAAAATATGTTTTTTCACAAAATATGAGAGGCATCCTCTTAAAATAACATTGTACAGTATATACCCTGCAGTGTTATTCTATTAATTTTGAGTTGATCAGAATCATATGGCTAACTCTTGATGCCTATAAGAATGAAGGGGCTGCAAAAACATAAGGTGATGGCTGCCTTGTGGGCCCCGAAGCAGCTAAAGTATCAAATACAACAAATGTACAGATTTTTATGTACTATAGCTCAAAGGTAGGAGACATTTTTTTCCATAGGATACTTTACAAAACATTGCTGAAAACTGCATAAAGAAGTAATGTAGGTGCAAAACAATGAAAATAAGTAAGCTATGCTTTTCAATTCTCAGGTTATTGTTTTTTAATTCAGACAGAAAACAGTGCAGCGCTAAAAAAATGACACAGTGTTGGACTAAAAAAATATAAATAATACATAATAATTATTAATTATGGTGATAATAAATCAATAATAGATATTAGTGATAGCAAATATAAGTGGATGAAGCGCTATGAATGGCGCAATAAAATAAGTGTAGCTGTGAAAGTCTTAACGCAAAAAGTGTTCATAAGGTGGTGAAGGTCTGACATACACCGGGCAGAATACAGTGTTGCAAACAGGTCCTATTGCACAGGTGGTGTCAGTTTATTCCATGTGACTCCATGCGGGAGATTGATAAAAATGAGCACTCACCAGCACAATGTGTTGAACTGTATATTAACCAAGAATATGCAAGAAGTCCCCTTTAGATGGACCAGACAGACAGCATGGGAAAAGACTCCGTCCTCTGGATATGAGACTCCTCTGCAACTGTAATTCCACTGGGGTCCAGGGAATCATTAGCTCCCCGTGTCTGTGGCTGAGCCGGGTCAGGTAGACGGGGCTCGGTGGGGTTGAGGCTCAGGATGTTCCCAATGAGGGGCAGTCCGGTGGGTGCGGGTGGGAGGCCCCGGGGTCTCCGCTGTCTCAGGAGGTGTCAGACGATGCACATGGTGACCAGCAGGGCTGCACAGTAGAGCAGTAGAGGCCACCAAGCAGTTTCTGCTGATCACAAATACTTGCAATATGGGCTTGTTTTGATTTTATACATTGTAAGTGCAATACTTGGAGCAATAAAGTGATTTATCTTGGGTAATACAGCATTGGAGCGGGTTTTTGTTCTTCTCTTTTCATGATATGGTGGAGTATGAAGTATTAATGAAGTGGATACTTGAACAACCCTGGCATTTGTTCATTGAGTGAGCTAATTCTGGAGTATACACCAGAGAAATCCCTCTTCTTTACTCTATATTAACCACTTGCCGTCCACCTGCTGTTTATAAACGGCAGGGCGGTGGCAGTCCAGGGGCGGGTTGACGTTCATAAACGGCACCCGCCTTTTCTAGCTGTATGCGCTCCCTGGGAGCGCGCAGCACCGCGATCCGGTGCCCGCTGTGTCCTCCGGACACATTGAAACACTGATCGTCGGACGGGACCTCGGTCCCGATCATGTGATCACTGATTGGCCAATCAGTGATCACATGCAAAGTAGTAAGCAAGATGTCACTTGTGACATCATTGCTTACTATGTGTGAAATCTGTGAATGATCACAGAGGTCACATGGTACAAGGCTATTCACAACAGCCTTGTACCATGTGACAGGGTGTGACCAATCACAGCTCACTCAGTATTTCTCAATGGCTGCAAGAATGCAGACAGAGAGAAAGAGAGATGATTGCTTTTACATCCTGTATGGGTGTAAAAGCAATCACTGTAAAAAAAAAAATAAAAAAAATCTTCATCACCCCCCACAAGTAGTACAGTGTCACCATGGTGACAGTGTACTGCTAGGGTGACAGTATGTAAAAAAAAAACAAAAAAAAAAAAAAAACCCATAAATAATAATATAAAAAAATAAAATAAAAAATGTAAAAAAAAGTTTAAAAATTATAATTTTTGGTTATAAACTAATTTGGCTTATTTTTTTTTTCTAAAACTATAACGGAATACATTTTGGTCAAGATTTATGATGAAAGATTATTTATTTGCAAAATTTTATAAGAAAAACCCTTTTTTTTCAAAATTTTTGGACATTTTCATTTACATAGCAAAAAAAAATTAAAATCCCAGCGGTGAATAAATACCACCAAAATAAAGCTTTATCTGTCTCAAAAAAATTGTAAAAAAAATTCATATGGGTACAGTATTGCATGACCGCGTAATTGTCATTCAAAGTGTGATAGCGCTGAAAGCTGAAAATTGCCCTGGACAGGAAGGGGGTAAAAGTGTCCGGACAGGAAGTGGTTAAAGGTAAATTGGGTGAGTGCACATCCAAGAGGGGGCGCATTGCGAGCACTGTTTATGGTTGTTAACATCGTATGATTTTTAACACGGGACTTTTTTCATCACTGGACATTATTTATTTATTTATTTATTTTTGTACCACTGGACTTTATTTTTGTGTTATCACTGTGTTTGTTTTGTCCACTATACTGGGTTAATATTTTGTTCCCTGTTATATATTATTATACATGAATTTCATATGTATTTTGAGGCTATATAATGAATTAGTGGGGATATGAGATTAATATTTATTTTAATATTCATATATATATAATTTTTTAGCATTCAGTTTGAATACTTGTGCTAAGATTAGTATGTCCTGGATTTTTTTTTTTTATCTTGCCCTCCATATAATGTCACAACTTTGTTTTTTGACATTCATTCCATCCCCCCACAGAAATGTACCTCACTGCGGCCATGTGCAGGGACCTTGGCAAATGCAGCATTATCTTCACCAGAGAAAAATCTGATTTTAATATCTTTTGGACGCTATATGTAGATTTGTTTTTTGAAAATTAATATAATGAACAAGATAAAATAGGAATATGTAAAAAAAGGTACTATGATGTTTATGGCTGATATATTTTAAAGAACCAAGTATGTTATCATATAATTTATGATATACTGCATATAAGTATGTGTTACAGAGAAACATAGGTCAGTATCTGAGTATCACTGTAACCAGTGGTGTATTTAGGTTTTGTGCTGCTCTAGGCCATGCAAAATTCGCCCGCACATCCCCCCTGGCGGAGAGAGCCTGACACCAACCAACACCCCCCCCCCCCCCTGACCGACCCACCGCCCCCACCCGAGAAATCCTTCCACTACCACCACCCTCCATACACCAGCCACCCCCCAGTCACCCCCCAGAGAGAAAGACACTCTCACCTTTACAGCTCCAGACTTCCCCTGGAATGAAAGTCAGGCTTTGCATACACCATCAAGCAGCCCACAACCTCTCTCAGATCCCACCTAGTCCCCATGCCACATGTGTCCCTTCCTCTATTAGGAAAATCTAGTTGGGTTCTCTGCTTAAGAGAATGCTGTGATGGATTAGTCAGGTCTGCTCATGATGCTCTGTGCTGCTGAGTTTTTTCCTTGAGTTCTGCCTGCATTCAGGAAGCTATGAGAACATTCTATAACCTGGGAGGGAACTGCAAATGAGCAGCATGAATATGGGTATGGCCCTGGCCAATTGCAAGGGAGGGCAGTCCCACTGCATGCCGGGAGTGGGTGTGTATGTTCTGTGAGCCCATGGGTTCAACATCTTTCCAGGAGAGGATTGCACCAAGCTAGGCTGGAGGCAGGCTTGCCTCAACTGGCACTGGCTGCCATGCGGTCTCAGGTGGGTCAACTTTAGGGCCTGAAGCTAGAGAGAGTGATCCTGGTTCTACAGTAAAGTGACTGAGGGGAGCTGTCTGCCAAAGCTCTGTCTGTTATCACTGGAGGGTTTCGCTTGGAAGATTGGAAGGATGCAACCATTCTGTCCTTGAACTTATGAGTACCGACACAGAGATCTTGGGGACTCTGTGTGCTTGCTACCTCCGCTGGTGCTTGATAGTCAGCAAGGTCTGAATAGGAAAGGGAACACTGGCTAGTGTTTTAAAGAGCTTGTCCAATTGTTGCTACTGCAAAGGACTTTGCTCAGCTAAGTTACCTTTGGGCTGTCGCAGTCTGTTGTAACTGGCTTATACCTGAGGAGCTCAGCCCTGTAACTACTACTCAGGGGCGGACTGACAACTCATGGAGCCCCCAGGCAATAGGGATCATGGGGCCCCTGTGTCCTCGCCCACACTCAAAGCACACCCAAAAAACCCTATGAAAGGTATTAGGGGAATCTCATATGGGGCCTCCTACTGACCCTGGGCCCTCGGGCAGTGCCCGAGTATCCGAATGGTCAGTCCGCCCCTGCTACTACTACTGTAAAAAAGGGACTTTGCTCACTCCTAAACTACCTGCTGCTACAAAGTAATAGGAAGTCTGCTATCTGCTTCAGCTAAGACTTCAAAAGTGCTCAATAAGAGATCAGCTAGATGTCCTTAGTGTTTATAGTTTTAATTTTGGGGTATCCTACTATAATTCCCCATCCCTATCCCCAGTTCTACAATAAAACTACAAAAACAAACATTACCTAGACTGGTCATTGAAGACAATGCACGAAAGAGTGTATATAACTAGCTGTGGAAAATACCTTGTGCCTGGCTGCGGAGCAAAGAAGGGGAAACCTGGGCAAAAATACAAGTGGCGCTTGGGGGTGATGCTACAATTATATAATAATACATTTTAGACCTCAGAAAGGGTTATATGTTGATGAATATTTCATGTATATATTGTTAATACAAATAAATGTCAGCGTAATATTGTTGTCTGATGTCTTTTTTGCCCTTAGGGATGAAATGTTGACCCACTGAGCCATCTGGGGGTCCTCCTCATCCAACCAGGGGTAGGAGTGCTACAGACAGAATCTCGGTATATTTAGAACCTACAGTATAGGGTAAACTGTCACCATAGTCTGCTGGAAGTTTGAGTTGACGTTTGCAGGCCGAGAGTTGGTAAACTGTAAGCACCAGGGGCGGACTGACCATTTGGAAACTTGGACACTGCCCGAGGGCCCGGGGTCAGTAGGGGGCCCCCTGAGATACCCCTGGTACCTTTTTCATAGGCTTTTTGAGTTTGGGCAAGGACACAGGGGCTCCATGATCCCCTATTGCCTGGGGGCCCCATGAGTTGTCAGTCCGCCCCTGTTAAGCACATAGCATTTCAACAATAAAAATGCATAAACTGCCCAGGAAAGCAATAGTAATGACCTGGGTGTATTTTGCTGGCTGGCAGTACGGCTGTCTACAGTGTTTAGGTTCCCATATTTTTATGTTACTGACAGTCAAGTGTATAAATGTAAGTGCCACTTCTGGTAGCTCTGCCTTCTTAGTCTAGAGTGGCTATGCAGAAATCTGATCCTGTGCACTACCTTTTGAATCGCTGACACTCAACATCCGAGCATGTAGATGAGTTTTCAGACTTTTTCTAAGGCTGCATTCACACATGGGCATTTTGAATCGCAGGCATAATCACCTTGATTCTGCCTGCAATTTCAAAATGCTCTGCTAAAATGGCAAATCGTGGAACAGCATTCATATTAAAGGCACCTGAAAACATGGTGCAGTTCTGCCATGATTGTAATGCAATAACTCGTGCTGCAATCGCAGCAAACCGCATTGCGTGTAGGAACTGCTTTTGGTTGACATGATGCAATTGCAGCAGAGCCGCACCACGTTTTCTGCTGCCATTAAAATGAATGGCACCTGAACATGTGATTCCACTATTTATTTATTTATGTATTTATTTAGTTATTTTTAATTTCTGGTACTTATATAGTGTCGTCAATTTACACAGCGCTTTACATATATATTGTACATTCACATCAGTCCTTAACCCTCAAGGGGTGTACAATCTAATGTCCCTAACTCCAATTCATACATACACATACTAGGGCCAATTTAGCCGGGAGCCAATTAACCTACCAGCATGTCTTTGGAGTGTAGGAGGAAACCGGAGTACCAGGAGAAAACCCATGCGGGCACAGGGAGAACATGCAAACTCCAGGCAGGTGGTGCCATGGTTGAGATTCAAACCAAGAACCCTATTACTGCCAGGCAGAATTGCTAACCACTTATCATTTTAGCAGAGCCTTCAAAACACCCTTGTGTGAATGCAACATTAAACTTCAATGGCTGCATGCTTGTTCCAGTTCGGAGAGTGAATTCAAGATCAGACAGACAGCTCCAGGGCCTGCTTCGTTAATAAACAAGTTACGCTCAAAGGAGCAGGGCCCTCGAACCCCTTGTGTATTGTATTGTACAGTATTGTCTCATGTTCCCCTCGCTAATGTACAGCGCTGAGCAAACCCTTTGGCGCTATATAAACACTGTATAATAATAATACTGATGGCAGCTCTCACACCTGTGGCATTGCACCACTGTGGTCCTTTGTTTGGATTTTGCTTGTGTTTTGGGTTTTAACACATACTTGCAGGTTTTATGCAGTTAGAAATCCATATTCAGTGTTTGTATGACTGTGGTAGGTGCATACAGTAGATTTGTATATTCCTTTATGTGTAAATGTAGACCCTCCCAAAGGAGCCACTGAATATGATCCGGCTCTCACTTACTTGTTCTGAGGCTTCAAGGCCCATACACCAGTTCCACACTCATCGACAACACAAGTTCAGTACAGGGGATGTCTTTTTGCAGATTTATGGAAGCAATCAAAATGAAAGATGGGGTGCAGGATACTCCAAAATGCAAACAGACA